TATGATTTTTTCTGAACCCCCAAACTATATGATCTGACAAAGAATTTTTTCATATTCGTGAATTATAATTTATGAAAAGTATAAAAGTTATACAATTAATCTACAAATAGACAACTTGACTGTGAAAGGTAAAATAAGACATGAATAAATGAAGAGACATGAATCTTAAATCTCTCCAAATGCCAATAAGATTTTAAAAATATTGACAAGAAATTGTAAAGTTCATTTAGAAGAATAAATGAGTGATTGTAGCCAAGAAGTTTTGAAAAACAAAAAGAATGGAATGTATGTGTTTGGGGACTACTTAAATTACGAGGTATTAAGACTTATTTTTCTGGGATAAAACTAAAATGTAATATAAACATAAAATGTAATTTGGGGGTTAGGGGACCCAACCCTCAGTAAACAAAACTCTACAGGAAGAAACCATAAAAGAAGACGGATAGGTTTTAGCACATAAAAACAAAACTTTCTCACATCAAAAATTAAAGCATGTTTGCAACATCCATGGCAAGTAGTTAATACCTTTATTTTATGAGTGCCCCCTAGACAATAAAACCAAATTCTCAACTTTTAAAATGAGCAAATAGAAAAGTGGGCAAAGGGACATAAATTCACAAAAGAGAAAATACAAACTGGCATTAAATAACCCTGTGGAAAAACAATCCAGATAATTAGTAATCGAAGAAATGCAAATCAAAACAATGAGAAATAACCATTTAAAAATATTTGAAAAAATAGCCTATGTTGTCACAGATATGGAAAAATGAGTATTTCTCAGGAAAAACTAATAAATCTTCCTGGAAGATAATTTAGAAAACATTTCTAACACCCATCAATTCCCCATTTCTAGAATTTTTAAATCAGGTAGGTACAATAAAAGGTAAATCTATAAGGATCTAGAAAAACAGAAAATTTCTAAACAATCTGTACATTTACGCAGCCATTAAGGATCACGATATGTACCAGCCAGCACCATAAATAAATAAATAAATAAAAAGCATCATGTTATAAAAGAATATCTAATAAAATTGAAATCAAAAGCCATGAATTCAATTTGATTTTGACTTTTAGAGGATCAGAAATATGTACTTTACAGTTTAACAGTTAGTCTATAGACATTACGGCAGTTAAGCACATGGACTTTAGTTAATAACTGTGAGAATTTGCAACAGGGAAAATATTATGGGAAGTTGCTTAAAGAATGTTCTGTTTATCTTACAGAAAAATGTAACCAGTTAAGCAATAAAGTAATAATAATTTAAACAATAGTCAAAAATGATTGAGTCACCAAATGCTTGCTTCTGCTTCTACTTTGAAGATAACATTGACACACAGCTATAAATTGCTTTTTGCAGATTTTGAGGTTGGGGCAACCTGACCACAGTCACATGGATCATCTGCTACCCAGACAAGATGATGCCAAGAAGTGAAGTAGATCAAGATCAAAGGAAATGCTGAAGCCTGCACAAGAGCCAACCAATCGGCTGTCCACAAGCTGTTCACAAGTCCTAGCCCCTTACCCTTAATTAGTCCTTTAAAAACCCATGATTGAAAGCCAACAGGGAGTTTGGGTTTAAAGTGATAGTTTCCTGTTCTCCTTGCTTGGCCCCGCCCTAAAGCCTATACCTTCTTCACTGCAAATCTGGGTGTTCAAAGTTTGGCTTAGCTGTGCATCGGACAGGTGGGCCTTCTTTGCCCAGTAACAAAATGGGAGAAAATTCACAATATTGTTACCAAACCAAATCTGGGTCTGCACTGCCCAGATGCACAGCAAAGCCAAATGCTGAGCCCTGGGTCTGCAGTGAAAGAAAGTGCCAAGCAAGGAGAACGTGTAGCTAACACTAAAGGCCTGAACTCCTCCATGGCTTATAAGCAAAGGTTTTTATTGGCAAAAATCATGTCTAGGGGTGTGTGATCAGCTCATAGGCAGTTCTGATTGGCTGAGGCTTGTGTAATCATGGGGTGTTCTTGGAATCTCAGTCATCAATCATTGGGCTTTGCCCTGCCTGCCTGGGGTCTACCTGACTGCGGTTGACCACGGGGTTTCAGTTCCCATCCACTTATGGCTCAGAGTTCCTGAAAAATAACTTAGGATATGCGTCAGTGATGTTATCTTTGAACCTTAAGGGAATGAAAACATCTTATGACTCTGACTTATGTCTTGGGTTATTGTTTAAGCTATTATTACTTTCTGCTTATCTGGCTCTTTAGTTTCTGTAAGTATTTTTCTAGTTTAATGATAAACTAGCAGTTTTAGATTTCCCAATGTCTTGAGCCACAGGCACTCCACTTTGTATGGGGGAGGGAATCCAGGCAAGGCTCCCAGGAACGGGGTGCTTGCTTGGTCTTGATATTGTGTTAAGTGAAAAAGGCAGAATACATCTTTGCAAGGCATTATCCGAATTACACCAAACATACAATGGATATGCACAGAAAAAACACTGGAGGACACAAACCTAAATATTAAATGTAATTCGTTCTGGGAGGTAAAAGTGTGAGAGATTGTTATGTGCCCCTATTTGAGTTTATACAACAGATTTAAAATTTTTTTAAAAAAATTATACAATTCAAAAATTGCCTTTGTTGAAAACCACGAAAGTACATGAAATTGTACTAGCCTGGAACCCCCAAGAAGTGTTTCGTTTGGAAAGCCAAGGCCACCTGCTAGTGGGTGAGTCATAGGCACAGGCTCGCACCTGCCACCGCAGACGCCACGCTGGCTGCTGCGCTTTTCCAAACAAAGTGACCCACAAACGGTGCGCAAAAGGCCACCGTGGCGGCTGCCCCGCGCCCGGCCCGCAGCCGTAGGAAGCCGGGCAACGCCCGCTCGCTCTTCATTTCAGGCATGGAGGCCTTTTCAAAGTCCACACTTTGGAACAACTCGGGAGCTCCGGCCTTGCAGGGCGCCGCGGGGGCGCCGCGCGAGCTCGCCAAAGCCCGGGGCACGTCTCCGGGGGCGGCCGCGCTCTCTTTGAAGTCTCGGGACGGGCTGGGAGGCCTTTAATAAGCCAGTGACGACGGACCAGACCCAGTGACCACAGGCTGGCCACGCGGTCGCCCGGCGACGCGCGTCCTCTGTAGGGACAAAGGGTCGGGGAAACTTGAGCTCGGGCCTGTCCCGGAAAACCCGGGCAGGAGGTCTCCATGGCAACGGAGTCGGGCCCTCCGAGGCCGGTCCCCCGGGCGAGGGCGCATCGCGCGGTGGCGAGAGTGGG